AGCCAGTACTCTTAACCCCTGAGCTGTCACTTCAGCACAAAATTGTGTACATAGGATAGTACACAGTAAATATGTTTAGCACAATAAAATAAAATTCAAAAATAAAAAGGAACACAATGGGAATATTTGATGAGCAGACATCCATTTGAATAATGCAATACAAAGCAGGTTCTGTTAAGGAGAGAGGAGAGACAGAGAGAGAGAGAGAGAGAGAGAGAGAGAGAGAGAGAGAATAATCAAAGGCCAAGGTAGCCAGAGGACCTTCTCCAGCCTTGAAGAACCTATTCAGAGAATAGGTAGAGAGGGGTCATGTAAGAGAGCATTCCAGGCAGGGGCCACTGTGACAGAGCAGCAGCAGGAATGTGTGTAAGCCTCCTAGAGACAATGAATACACTGTCCATCTCAGCTTCGATCCCTGAAATGTATATTGTAGGGAAACTGCACAGGAGTGAGATTTTTTAAAGCCCTTGAAAGCAAATGAAAGAAACCTAGGTTTAGGTCTCAGGTGGAACTTGGGCTGGAGGAGGATAAAAAGGCAGATCTGCACTTCTCCTTTCCTGAAGCTGAGTAGCTCCAAATTAATCTGTTTGATGCATTGAGATTCATCGAGCCTTTGCTTTAAAAAATTTCTGTTCCTAGACTTGGATGTATCTTAGTGATAGAGCAATTACCAAGGATGCACAAGGCCATAGGTTCAATCTCCAGTTCCACACACAGATAGACAGACAGACAGACAGACAGACAGACAGACAGACACACACACACACACACAAAACCTGAAGAGCTTAACATACCCCAAAGTATTCCTGTCCATACAGCTAAGTATGCCCAGAACTGTTCCTGCCATTTTAGCCTTTCAATCATGTTCTCCTTCACCTTGAGCTTGAAACCACATGTTCAGTGAATGATCTCCTTCACCATGACTTGAAACCGCATGTTCAGTGAATGTACATCATTTTTTACATTTACATATTTACTCATTTTGTGTGTGATGGGTACACGTGCCACAGCCTGTATGTAGAAGTTGGGATAACTTGTGGAAGTTGGTTCTTTCCTTCTACCATGTGAGTTCTAGGGATCAAAGTTAGGCCATCAGGCTTAGTGGCAAGCACCTTTACCACTGAGTCATCTCATTGGCCCATAGTGCACATCTCAGATTGATTATGCTTGTGAATGTGCCATCTCGCCTGCTTCCCTACATGACCTGAACTGAGCCTCAGTTTCTCCAATAGCAATGACTATAACTACCTTTCCATTTGATTGAAAGAAATAGATGGACAATTACCTATTCCAAAAAGAAATTTCTAAATTCTGATTTATTTTATTTTTAACAAGTTTATTTTTGAATTTTTAAGTTTTTATGTGTATGTATGTGTGTGGTATGTGTAAACATGTTTGTTGGTGTGCAGAGGACAGAGGATGGGACCAGCTGTCATGTCCTGTCAGTCTCTGCCATATTCCTTTGAAACAGGGTCTCTCGTTGAACCTGGGGCTAGGCTGGAGGCCAGCAAGACCAGCCATCCTTCTGCCTCTGTCTCCCACAAGGCTGGGATTGCTGCATGGCTACTTCTGTTTTTAGGGGTGCTTGGGATTTGAGCTCAGGTCCTCAGGATTACATGGCAAGTGCTCTTACTCACTGAGCCATCTCCCCAGCCCATGAATTTATTTATAGTAGCATCAAAATGAGTAATGAGTCCAGGCACGGTGTCACATGCCTATCTACGTCCACAGCTTCTGGGAAGATGTCTTGAACCCATCTCAGGAGATCAAGATCAGCCTGAGAAGCATAGTGAGATTGTATATGGAAAAAAGAAAGAAGGGATTCAATAAAGTTGCAGGATTCAAAGTTAATGCAGAAAAAATAAAGTAGTGTTTCTATGCATTAACAACAAACTGTCCCCAAAAGAAAAAATCAAGAAGGTAATTTCATGTACAATAGCTACAAAGCAATCCTGAACAAAAAAGAACTAAGCTGGGGGCATCACATTATTTGACTTTAAAATATACTATAAAGCTATGGTAATTAAAGCAGAATAGCATTGGAATAAAAATAGACACATATTGGGCTGGCTAAATGGCTCGGGGGTAGAGGCACTTGTCACCAAGTATGTCAGCCTGAGTTAATTCCTCAGGATCCACCTCATGGAAGTAGAAAACCAACTTCCAAAAGTTGTCATTTGACCTCCACACACATACCACAGTGCACACACACACACACACACACACACATGATACATTCACACAAAATAAATGTGTAATAAATTTTTTTACACAGAAACAAAAGCCATTGAAAAGAAAGAGAATCCAGAAATAAATCTATGCATTTTCAGTCAATTGATTTTCAAGAGAACTGCCAAGAACAGACAGTAAGAAATGATGCTGGGAAGCCAAATAGAGCCATGCAGAAAATGAGATCAGACCCTCATCTCTCACAATACTGAAACATCAACTCAAGAGGGACTGAAGAGATGGATCAATGGTTAAAAGCACCTGCTGCTCTTGCAGAGGACCGGGGTTCCCAGTACCTACATGGTGGCTAACAACCATCTGTAACTCTAATTCCAGGGGATCTGATGCCCTCTTCTCACCTCCATGAGCATTGCACACATGGTGCATTTACATACATGCAGGCAAAACACTCATACACATAAAATATAAATAAATAATAAATAAATAATTTTAAGTCAACTCAAAATGGATTAAGTATGTTTCATATAAAGGACAAATTTACTCGAAGAAAACATAGAAGAAAAGCACAATGAAATTTGGGGATGATTTTTTTATATGACCCCAAAGCACAAAGAACAAAGCAAAAGCAGACAACTGGGATTTCATCAAACTAAGAAGCTCTGAACAACAAGGAAACAATCAGCAGAATGAAAAGACAACATGTGGCATGGGAGAATCTGTAATCTGCACACAATGGCAAGAAGTTAATATCCAGAATGTACAAGAAACACCAACACTTCTATGGACAGAAAACAGAGAACTTGATTTTTAAACGGTCAAAGTATTTGAACAGATGCTTCTCAAAAGAAAACATCTAAGCGGCCAAGAGGCGCATGAAAAGGTGCTCAAAATTACCATTCATTAAAGAAATTCAAATTAAAGCAAGGTGTCGTAGCACAGGCCTTTAATCACAGTACTCGGGAGGCAGAGGGTGATGGGTCTCAGTGAGATCAAGGCCAACCTGGTCTACATAGTGAGTTCCAGGCCAGCTAGAGCTACAGGAAGACCCTGTCTCAAAACAAAAACAAAAACAAAGAAAGAAAGAAATGTAAATTAAACATGAATATAATTTTGCACCTACTGTAATGCCTGCTGTCAAAAAGATGAAAATCTTAAAGAACACAATGAAGAAAAGGGAATCCTGTTCTCCTTTGTAAGGTCACAGGTTGGGTCAGTCACTAAGGAAAACTGTTAGTCACTGTGATTCACTGTGACAAAACACCTGGCATAAGCAACTTTAAAGGAGAAAGAGGGGCTGGAGGGACTGCTCAGCAGTGAAGAGTGCTTGCTGCTCTTGCAGAGGATCTGACTTCAGTTTCAACCACCTGTAACTCCAGCTTCTGAAGATCCAACCTCCTCTTCTGGCCTCCACAGGCACCTATACACACACACACACACACACACACACACACACGAATAAAAATAAAGTAAATCTTTTTTTTTAAGGAGAAAAGATTTTGGGGGGGCTTACAGTTTGGGGAGTTTCAGTCCATTGCTGCTTGGCTCCATGCTTCTGGGCCTGTGGTGAGGGGGAGCTCATGGTGGAAAGGGTATGGTGGAGAAAAACATCTCACCTCAGGGCAACCAGGAAGCATAGAGACAGAGAAGACAGGTATGGGGACAAGATAGTTTCAAGAATATTCCCCCAGTGTCCAACTACCTCCAGCTGGGCACCACCACCTAATGGACTGTTCAGCTGTGGCTCCATCAATGGATTAACCTATGATGAAGTTAGAGCCCTCATCATCCAATCACCTGCCAAAAACCCATCTGGCAACCAAGCCTTTAAAACATGAGTCTTTAAGTAACATTTTCAGATACAAATTATAACAAAAACACTATCAAGTTCCTCAAAAAATATAAAATAAAACTATCGTGTAGTCCAGCAATCCCATTATTGGGTGTGTTCCCAGAGGAAATGGAAGCCGTATGTTGAAGAGAGGTCTGAATTCTATGTTTGTGGAAGCATCCACAGTAGTCAAAATATGGAAGTAACCTAAGTGTCTGTTTTTATTGGGTCTTTTTTTTTTGCCTATTTGTTTGTTGTTTTTGCTTTTGAGACAGGGTTTCACTATGTAGACTTGAAATCCTCTCAATTCAGTTTCCTGTGTTGAGGTTACAGGTATATACCACCATGCTCAGCCCCAAATGTCTGTTGATGAGTGGATAGATAAATAAAATGTGATATATTATACAATAAAATGTTACTCAGCATTAAAGGAAGGAAAACCTTCTATTTGGGACAACATGGCTAAACCTGGATGGATCGTAAGCAAAATAAGCAAACTGAAGAAATACTCATTGCATGATCTCACCTGTATGTGGAATCTAAAAGAACCAAACTCACAAAAGCAGAGAGGAAGATGGTTGCTGGAGCTGGGGGAGGAGAAAAGGAAGGATATTGTCTGAAGAGTATAAACTTTAAGTTACAAGTAAATTCTGTAGATATACATGATGACCCTCTGAAGTCCATTTATATTGCTATAACAAAATACTCGAGGCTCTTTTTCCAAAATAGCACCTTGTTCTGCATCTGCCAGTAGAGGAGAGAACTTCGTCTTCACATGATGAGAAAGATAGAAAAGAGAAAAGAGGACAAACTGCTTCTATCGAGTCTTTTTCCATTCAGTCACCTCTTAAAGACCAGACTGTTTAACACTGTTGCATTGGGATTGAGTTTCAACAAGAGGCTGAGGCAAGAGGATTGCCACAAGTTCAGGGTCAGCTTGAGTGACATGGGGAAGAGGGAGGGAGGGAGGGAGGGAGGAAGGAAGGAAATTGGATGAACAGACAATGAAGTGTTAGTTATAAAGAATGGAACCATTTCATTTTACAGGAAAATGGATAGAATTGGAGAGCGTCTTGTTAAGTGAAATAGAAATAGCCAGACTCAGAAAAACAGGGATCATATTTTCTCTTGTATGTGAAACCTAGAGGAAAAAGACAGAAAGAAAAATGTCACATGAGTAGAGCGGGGACAATTAGGGAAGAGAGAGGAGACCAGAGCCAGAGGAGTGAGAGAGTAATGGGGTGACATGTCCAAGTATATTCTGCAAGTATAGTACAAGGATGAAAATGTGACAGTGAAGTCCGTTATCTAGTACAATCAGCACACCCTAATAAGAAATAAGAAATAAAGCACGTGAGAGGTTGTGTATAGGTCACACACATAACATGATGTTGTATGTAAGCAAATTTCAGTATTTCCAGGGATTACAGAGCCACAGACAGCAGGGAATGACTGTATCTCCATGTTACATATAATGCCTAATACGATGTTAAATGCCACACAAATACTTCTTGAATGCATTGTTTGTTTAGAAATGACAAGAAAAAATAGTCTGTACCAGTAGAGATGCAATTTTTTCTGAGTATTTTCAACATGCAGCTGATTAAATGCACAGATATGGAATCCCCAGGTAAGACAGACAAACTGTACCCTTTCCCTCACATCTGCTTGTGCTTGGCTACAAATACTTAGAGACAGACACAGAAGTCAGCCAAAGGTGTTTTAATAAGCTCAGGAAACTGCTGAGGTCATCCTCTAGGTGGAGTCAGCTTCGTTTTTGTGGCCTCAGACTTCAACGTGCTAATGCTTCCATGATATTTGGTCCTTGGGTTTCACACAGCACATTTTGCCGCCCCAGCAGAAAATGTAAGCCTTTTCATTCTTGATGCATTGATCACGGCAGGTGCCCTGAGAATTCCAGCATCTTTTGGTGCTACCTAATCCAAAGAGTAAGAACAAGGAAACTTTCGTTAGTCATGAATTAAAAATCGAGGACACCTACACCAGTATGCGGTTCTGTGTGGAGACCAGAGGGCCAGACAATAAAAGGGGACCACGGAAGAAGGAACAGTCAGCTCTAGAGGTTTAGGGTGTGAGAAAGTCACACATCCTTTATGGACACCCCACCCCAATCCCAGCCCTTCATCAAGGCTCCTTCTCAGAGGTGTAGTGGGTTACAAGAGTTAACAACATGTACCACTGGAACCATGGGCCTGGACTTGAAACCCGTGTCCCAAGCCAACAGGGAGACCTTGAGCTAGTGACTGCTGTGGCTGACAAGGGGACAGCCATGGAACCTGAATGGATTATCACAGAACTGAGTGAATAACCAGAGGGCCCAGGGTAACATGAGTGCCGAAAGCACAGACAGCTCTGCTTTTACTCTCATACTCATTAGAGCTACAGCCAAATGTTTACACTACAGTGAACAAGAATAAAGTGGCTGGAATAAAACAGTTCAACAAAACATAATGAGCAAGACAGCATTATCTCCATAGTGTGCCTTCTCAGGAGATCAGCATGTCTCCTGAGAAACTAGGGGAGTACCGGCATTCCGGAGATATCTCCTCAGCAAGCATTCTTGCACAAACTTTCTCTTGAGACAAGGCTCTCCAGACATAGATGCTCAGAGTTCAGCTTAATTCACCAAGCATAGTGTTAAAGCCATAGGAACACTAGTTTACGGTCCCTTCAGACTGCCTTCTTGGAGAACCAGTTTCCTCTTTTCTAGAAGGAGATACAAGCAGCTGCCTCAGACTTGTTGTGGGAATAAAGTAATGTAGAGACTAAGGGTGTAGCTCAGTTGGTAGAGTGCTTGCCTAGCAAACATGAAGCCCTGGGTTCCATCCCCACAACACTGTAAACAGGGCATGGTAGTGTATATCTGTAATCCCAGTACTCAGGAGGTAGAGGCAGGAGCATCAGGAGTTCAAGGGCATCATCAGCAACACAGTGAGTTCAAGGTCAGCTTCAGCTACCTGAAATGTCTCAAAGGAAATAAAATAAAATAAAAATGAAAGTGTTCAAAATATTAGTATTTAATAAATACAGTCATGAAATGACAAGACCTCAGAAAAGATTGAACATTCTAAGTCATTTCACAAAAACTGAACTAGAAGAAACACATCAGCAAATAAACGAAGCCTACTGGCTTAAGAAAAGTGCAGAGGAGAAAGAGGGCATTTTAATATTAAAAAAAGAACTGGAAAGCGAGAGACACTGACCAGAAATCCAACATACCCAGACCAGGAGTTGCCACACCTTTCAGCAAGGAAACAGAACAAGCATGCCAAAGTATGTTCAATAACATCTCTTCAAGCAGAAAGATACTTGAAATACACACTAGAAGAGCTGACAGCGAGTCACAGAATACAGAACCAAAACAAGACAGATTGTAGTAACTTTAATGGGCATTACACAGAAAGAAAAGAAAAATGTTTTAGGCAATCAGGAGACGCACACGCACACACGCACGCACATTGAATAAGAGAAAGAAAATTAGACCATACTTAGACTTTTTGACAATCATGCTTTATGCCCTAATAAAGACTTGTGTCATGTACTTGGGATATTCATGGGGGGCAAGGGGGGGTAAGCAAACAAGGTCATGTCTAGCAAAACTGATTTCCAAGCACAAAGGACAATGATGAATTGTTAACATCTGAAACTGGAGAAACATTGCCTGTATGTACCTTTCCTAAGGAATCTAACAGGGAAGAACCTCAGACCTGCAAATTACAGAAGCATTGACACAGGATTACGTGTTAATATGCAGCACCTTGTAGAACTGAAGCTAAATGAAGATGTAAGATAAGGGCTCCGGAGCTCAGAGGCAAAGGGTTTGCTTAGTACAAACCACAACAATATCAAAATAAAACAAGAGTGTAAAGGACTCGATGACTGCATGTCCTGAGGAAACAGGCACAGTACAAAAAAAAAGGTGGGGCTACATCGGTGAAAATTGTACATGTGCAGAAATTTTCAATGGTTTGAGAAATCATGTTATTGTGGGGATACTGGAATGCTGATGCTAATGTATTTGTGTTTGGTATAATCTATCATCCCTGGCAGGCTGGGGGTGCAGTAAGCAGTGTTCTTCTATGGTCGCTGCTTCCGTTCCTGCCTCCAGGTTCCTGCCTTGACTTCCTTTGGTGGTAGATTGTCTGTCACTTGAAAGAGTAAGATGAAATAAACCTTTTCCTCCTCAAGTTGCTTTTGGTCAGCATTTATCTTAGCAATAGAAATCTATGAGGACATGTATTAATGTTTTTAAATGACAGGTAACATTGTATTCATTCATGCACAACACGTTTTAAAATATAATGCTTAGATCCAGCCAATTAATGGATGTATTGAGGGTGGGGATGTAGCCAAAGAGGAAAGTACTTTCCTACTATGTATAAAACTTTGAGTTCCATTCCTGACATGGCAAAAAAAAAAAAAAATCAAACAAACAAAATAAAGCAAAACAACAAGAATTTAAATGCGTTACTTCACATGGTTATGGTCAGGGCATTTATATTTGTGCTGCATTTTTCAATAATACAATATACTATCATCAATCATGCTGTGCCATAGATCTCGTGAACCAATTCTTCCTTTCTAACTGCAATCACACAGGCTTCGACATTTTGTTTGAGCTGCAGCAGCAACAAAATCATCGCAGTTATTCCTGATAGAAGGTCTGGGGTTGGCAAGATGCTGCTTAAATGGCAAAGCTGACTTCACTTTGTTTCAGCTGACTTTTGCTTCACCCTGTGTTTCTGGCTTGCCCTGCTTCCCCTGCAGTTGTAACTGCAGTCAGCCAGGCAGAGTCAGCCAGCCATGAAGGTCACACTTGTAGTTTCAACAGGTACATTGTTTCTACAATACTGGGAAGCTTCCTGGCAGCAAATCCAGGTAGCACATCCTCCCTCCAAGCTATACCTGTATCACCATGGAGCCTATTGTTTCTGCAATACTAAGAAACTTGTTTATCCTGAAATTTTTTGTTAACTGAAAACCTTTTTTTTAATGATTTATTTAATAACCACACAATCAGAAGAAGCATTTCATTACAACAGCATTGACATATTCAATAACAATTTCCAGAGCTAAGATATATCTCTTTCAAAATTGACTGTAAATTTTTAGGTTCACAGTTGAATTAATACAGTTATACAATATTGAACTCTGTATAAAGCCCATAAGACATAAAATTGAATGAGGTTTTAACCTTTAAGAAACATCTGCATTTCATTTTAAAATATATTGTGTTCCTTTCTGACCTCCTTGGCATCTGAGCATGGATATAAGGTCATCAGGTAGATTTCAATGGTAATGTTTTTCACATCCACCAATTATTAAGGACAAATTTTTATGCTTTGAAGAATTATTTTTTTAATTTTTTAAAATTTATTTTTACACCAACTTCCCAGATAGCACCCTCCGATAGCCTCCCTCCCCCCACTAGAGCCCTTGTACTCTGATATCCCTGCTACTGTCTGCTGTGTTGTCGGCACCCCC